CCCAGGCTGGAGTGCAGTGGCACAATTTCTGCTCACTGCAACCTCTGCCTCCTGGGTTCAAGCAGTTCTCATACCTCAGCCTCCCCAGTAGCTGCGATTACAGGCTCCCGCTGCATTGCCCCACTAATTTTTGTTTTGTTTTGTTTTGTTTTTGAGATGGAATCTTACACTGTTGCCCGGGCTGGAGTGCAGTGTTGCTGTCTTGGCTCACTGCAACCTCTGACTTCTGGGTTCAAGCAATTCTTTTGCCGCAGCCTCCGGAGTAGCTGGGATTACAGGCGCCTGCCACCACACCCAGCTAAATTTTTGTATTTTAGTAGAGACAGGGTTTCACTATGTTGGCCACGCTGGTCTCAAACTCCTGACCTCATGATCTGCCTGCCTCGACCTCCCAACGTGCTGAGATTACGGGTTTGAGCCACCGTGCCTGGCCAGCATACAAGTTTTTGTTTGAACACCTGGTTTCACTTTTTTACCTGGGAGTGGAATTGCTGGGTCATACACAGTTAATTCTGTATTTAACTTATTGAACCGTGAAACTTTTCCACCATGGTTGTATCAATTTACGTTCCCACCAGTGATGTATGAGGGTTCAAATGCATCTTCATACTCATAAACACGCACTATTTCCTGTTTTTCTGATTAGGCCCTCCTAGTTGGGTGTGAAGTGTGATATATCTTTGTGGTTTTGATTTGCATTTTTCTTGTGACTAATGAGTTCAGCATCTTTTCCTGTGCTTGTTGCCTCTTTTCTTTTCATTGGTGAATAACATGCCATCGTAGCTCTATCTACCACATTTTTTAGCATTCATCTGTTGATAGACATTTGGGTTGTTTCTACTTTTTGCTTATTATAAATAATCTGCTATGAACATTTATGGAGTAATTTATGTGCGGGCATTTGTTTTTATTTCTCTTGGGTATAGACCTAGAAATGGGATTGTTGGTTTATGTGGTAACTTTTAACTTTTATTTATTTATTTATTTTAAAGTCTCACTCTGTCACCCAGGCTGGATTGCAGTACAATCATAACTCACTACAGCCTTCAACTCCTGGGCTCTAGCAGTTCTCTTGCCTCAGCCTCCTGCTGTTACACGCACATGCCACCACACCTGGCTAATTAAAAAAAACTTTTTTTGTAGAAATGGAGTCCTGCTTTGGTGACCAGGCTGGTCTTGAACTTTTGGCTTCAAGTGTTCTTCCCGCCTTGGCCTCCCAAAACACCAAGTTTGCAGGAATGAAACACTGCTCATAACCTTTTTTTTTTTTTTTTTTTTTTGAGACTGAGCCTCATTCTGTTGCCCAGGCTTGAGTGCAGTGGTGTGATCTCAGCTGACTGCAACCTCCACCTCCCGGGTTCAAGCGATTCTGTTTCTTCAGCCTCCCGATTACCTGGGACTGTAGGCACGTGCCAGCATGCCTGGCTTAAGTTTTTGTGTTTTTAGTAGAGACGAGGTTTCACTGTGTTAGCCAGGGTGGTCTCTACCTCCTGACCTTGTGATGATCCATCAGCCTCTGCCTCCCAAAGTGCTGGGATTATAGGCGTGAGCCACCATGCCCAGGCTTTTTTTTTTTTTTTTTTTTTTTNTTTTATGGTGGGG